GGGCTCACTCTACCGGAGCTGGGGGGGCAACCTTTTAGAAAGCTTATAAATATGGGGCTTCGGCGACCATATGTAAAGCGGCAACTTGAAAATCCACAAACACTTTTATTACGCATTATAGATTTGACCCAGTCTGCCTACGACAGCAGAGTTCAGCAGGGTAATTTTACAGACTTTTTATAGTAGGAATTCTAAATGTTGTCTCACTGTAGTAACTCTCCCTGTGTGTGCAAATTATTTCCCATGGTATGTTGCCATAATGCTCCAGGAAAATCATAGCCTTACCTTTTCTAATTTTCATTTCCTGGTTCACCTTCATGACAGCACACAGGTTTCCAATCTGGGTGGTGATTTTTACAAAGTATGAGGTGCTTTGAAGAAGCCATAAAATTTGAACATATCCAAGCCTATGGGGTTGAGGGGCGCAGACACAACCCATCATCTGCTGCGATGAAGAAGCGCCATGAAAGAAAAATTACAGAAAAGTGATGTATGATTTTTCAATGTTTTCTCATCCATTGAGGGGGAAACAGAAATTCAGATACAACTGGAACATCCAAAAGCCTTCCCACTAACCCCTTAGGGACCAAGGCCTTTTTTTCCCCATTTTTTGCACCCATGTTATCCACATTTTAGGCCTGAAAATGAAATAAAAACCCCCCAAACATGATATAGTTTCTGAAAGCCAAGACCCTATAAAATAAAATGGCAGCAGCTGCAAATTGTGTATGTTGCACAACATTAGCGCAACTTATCAAACCCAAACATTTTGTGAAAAAAATGTACTTAAGTTAAATTTAGTACCCCAAAACAAAATATAAAACTATTTTTTTGTAAAAAAATGTAACAGATGAGGTTACAACAAGTAAATAGATACCCAATATGCCCAGGTTAAAAATTGTGTGCATCCGTGAAACTGCAACAGAATTCAGTACCCCAAAAAGTCCATACAGATGCTTATAAGCCCCTACCGGTCATTAGCGAGGCATGTAAATATTGGCCCTAGAGTGATTACTCTCACTCTGGCTTGCACGGCGATACCAAACATGTGTGGCTTACAAGCCTATGTGATAGCATAAAGCCAGTGACAGATCCTCTTGCCAGCCGCCCGTTAAGAAAAAAAACAGACGGACGGTAGACTCGCATCAGCGGGTTGCCGTCGCCAGACAGCATTTTTTTTTTCCTGCACGGGCAGGAAAGACCCGCTCGTTACTACAGCCGTTAACGGCTGTTTCACATACAACCGATCGGCGGCTCTATAGCCACCGATCGGTTGTATGGCGTGAATTTCAGAGCGCCCCCCCCCACCCCCCAATCGCAGTGCCTCCATCTCCCCCCTCCTGTTGAATACTGAAAAATGGCCTGGATGGGAAGGGGGTTTAACACCCCGGATGTCAACTGGTTAAAGGAGAACTATGGGGTCAGTGTTTTCCCCCATAGTTCTCCTTAGGGTAACGGGAGGACACAAACTAGCGTCCTCCCGTTACCCTAAGCTCAGAATACCGCGAGCCTGAGACGCCAGAGCGGATCCCAACACCCTGCAAGCCAGTCCTGGCCCATAGGAGGGGCAGCAGAGCCCAGGAAACAAGGGGGGGAGCGGCGGCACCTCAAGACCTAGACAGAACGCCACTACCAGAAGGAATTACTCCACATGAAATGGAATACCTCAAAAAAACAGGTGAAACCATAACAAATTCTATTGAAGGAAAGAAAGGACACAGCCTGGTGTGGTCAACAGAAAACTGGGGACAACCCATAAAATGAAAAGATCACGAAAACAAGGACAAAACAGGTCCATGCGAGAAAAATCATACGGTCTACATGGAAACCCCCTAGGATGAAAACTTTGAGACTAAAAGCCTGCCAGGCCAGACAACTAATCTCGCAAGGCAAGACTTACCAAGGACAAACACAGCAACATCCCAGGAAGTCATTCAGTCATACTCCACCCCTGGCAGAGGGTACCTGCACCATGAATTCCAAGATGTCCCATCTGATGACAATCCAGGAAAACCCAGGGCCCTCCATTAATGAATTACAATTTTCACCTGCCACACAGGATTAAAGGTGTACGAACCTCTCCTCTTGGTACAGAAACTACCAGTTAGGAATCAGATCCCTTGTCCTTAAGGGAGGCGGGGAGAGCGAAGCTAATACTCCCAGAATTATCTAGCAAATGGAGCAACGTGAAAGGAGCTACCTTTTCTGAGGCGCAAGGCAGTAGCTCCGGGATGGAGATTCTCCAGTGAATGAAACCCGCCCCCCTGGAATACGGAAGAAAAAAAAAACTATTCCAGACGCCTGAAAAGGCTGAAGGATCACATCTGGGACTACCTGGCCCATAGACCTACCCTTTGGCCGGCTCAGAACCAAGGCCTGTGACAACAGAGAAGAGGGCTGCAAAGGGTCAGGAAAGTATAGGAGAGGGAGACTACCTTGAAAGGGTCCCCCAACACTACCACGAGGAAGGAGAAAGGGTTAATTTCCTGCCTGACGACAGGGGATCTGAGGGAAACACAAGACTGGGGACCTTTTTGTGGGGGCTTCAGCTAGAAAACCTTGTCCACAAGCGAGTTACCAATACTGGAACAAAAAAAAAAGCCTTATGTGGCCAGAGCTTGCAGGTTTTAGGCCCTCCCAGAAGGTGCTGACAAGAGCCAATGCTCCAAGAAGTAGGTGTGCCTGAGTGACATGGAGGATCCAGGTCCTTATCCAGGCAGGGGACAGTCAGAGCCAATAGTGGTCGACTTTGTAGGTCAAGGAGTGCCTCTAGAGTAACTGAGGGGTTCCATGTATGGACTTTTCATATTCCAAGGACAGGGAATTTTACTCAGCAAAGGAGTGCATTTTTCGGATAGGGCACAACTTTAGAAACATGAGCTAGAGCAGTGGGAGGAACTCAGGGAGATGCATTATTCTGTGTAGTATGCAAGGAGAGATAATAGGGAGCAACTAAAGGGGGCACCAGACGCAAGAGATTAGCCTGTGGGCCTAAAAGCACCTAATTGTCAGAGAGGTAAATTATACAAGGACTCACCAGAATGCATTCCCCCAGAAGGAAGGCTTTTCAGAGGGGTTAGCTAGTGTCTGACTATGCACCCTATGGGCTGTTTGGGACTCAGGCACCGATGGTCGGTGAACACCTACTACAGAAGTAGATGAAGTTTTAGATTCTCTTCCCAATCCTCCTGTAGGTAGCTGTGTAACCAGATTGTACTCTAAATTCCTGTGTTTCCCAATGGACAAGAAAAGAATTTAAAAAAAAAAGAAGAACAACCGTATGAACACAGAGCACAATTACATACTGTGTGTAGTGCATTGTTCCCATGTAACTATAACATACTGTTTGCAGTGTTCTAATATCTGTAGTATTAGTATTTCTAATATTGCTTTTCACCTAAATTGATCACATTAAGCAACTGTATTCATTCATACTGTTTTTATATTGACACTGATCCGGCTGGTAATGCCCAAATGCTAGTGGCTGACAAAATAAAGCTTAATATCAGCTAAACAAGGTAGCAGTGTTTCTTTTGCCGCTGAAGGTGCATCATAGATGCAACTAATCTATACTGCTGTTATACGTAACCAACTTTAATAGGAATGTATATTGTTTTGTAAATTTATATTTAGTTTGTGACTAAACTTTTTTACTTCAGGTAAATATAGAAAATAAAATGTACCACTTACAATAAGTAATATTTTTGATAGAACTATAAACATAGTTTCAAGCGTTTGAATGCAATTGATCAAAACCATTGTTTTCCTTAAACTATTCCAACAGCTGGCCAGTTACACATCTTTAGGGTAGTTGTAGACAGGAAGATGGTGAGGGAGAAATCTACTGATACTTAAACACGTCATACATTTCTGGACTATAGCACATTTTATGATTTCATTCCTTCTATAGCCATAATAATAACTACAGCCTTCTCGCAAAGACTGGCCATCATTGTGCAACTAGCAATTGCCTGTCCTCAAAACAATGTCTGTGCAACACTACTAAGAATGATTATCCTTGTCAATTTTGTCAGACCCCCAACTACTGAAAGGATCACCTTTTCTTTCCTCAAAGAGATTGTAGAGCATGTTTTGGACAAATCTCAGGAAGCGATAGCAAATGTTCCACAAAACGATAGTGGGTACCTACCTAATTTTTGGTGCCTTTCTATACTGTAAGCAAAGGAAGATTATACCCCTGGCTCCTAAAAAAACAAATGCACTTGGAATTAGTCCCACAAAGTTTATGGATCTCCTAACTACCACCAGGTACACTCATTTGTAGCCAGCCTTCAAATAAGGTTTTACTTATCTTGCCTTAGTATCTCTCATACTGGTGGTTTCTGATTTATTGAAAACAACTAACTGTGAAAAACGTGTGGGTGTTTTAATGTTATTCAGGACAAAGAACTAAACATGGGTGCTTCGCAAAATACATAAAGAACGCTGCCTTCATTCTGGAGCAAATACTCATCTGTGTTTCCAAATATTAGTTACAAAGAAACTCAAGGGGGCAACAGTCTTGAAAATGCTTTATTGAACTGAACTTATAGCTGTAATGTGCAGAATGTGTTTGAAAAGACTACAGCTTGAAGAAATGTTTTGTTGAGGTTTTTTTTCTGGAAACTTTCAACAAAACAAAAAAAACTGGGAGGAAAAAAACAAACTGGGATAAACTGCTACAATAGAAGACTAAAAGACCAGGATCACCTCTTCATTTTAACCTTTCAGCACCATTAACCTTCACATGGATGGGGTGAAACATTTAAGTGCAACACTTTGCAGGAATACATAATGTCAGCAGTATATAGGTGAGAGGGACAATCACTAATATACCCAGTGTTATTGTGGGTTACAACACACCACTGTATTTCCAATTGCACACAAGGTGATGCTGCAACAACTGTGCCAGTTGCCAAGTGAAGGACAGGGAACAGCGGAAAATATGCAGACATAATCAAGTGATAATATATTGGTAGATTCATCTGAAAAGCTGTGAATACTCCTTTGTCCTTTTATTTTGTTTATATTCTAACTTTTCATTGCTTAACAAAAAAAAAAAAAAAAATGTACCTGCTACCCACTGTGTTGGGACCTTTATGAAATTCTATGCACTGTACACTGAACACTGTACATAATTTTCATATAGGAATAATAGTATAGGCATGAAGGTGGCATGATTTTTAATCAAAGGCTTTTTACTTGTATACCAAAAGAAAAATCAAAAAAAAGTAACAATAAATAAAAAAAAGTGCTAACAATAGCATTAGGAATTATGTATTATATACCGACAAAGCCTGGGAGGAAAAATCCTCATGCTCTCCTTTTTGTGGACAATCTTTGCAAACTAAGAAGCAAATACATAAATAAGAGAACTCAGGAAAATAGAATTAAGAATGTGAAAATGATTTTTTTTTTTTTTTTAAACTAAGACAACATAATCTGGGCTAACGTTTGCCTTTAAACAGCATTTAAATGAAATAATCTACACCTGGATAAAACAAATTAAACAGTTGAAAAGGCTTTGTTTACAACCACATGAAGAAAAAAAAAAAAATTAAACACAGAACAAGGTTTGCTTGAAGGATCACATATATTGCAATTTCTGACAGCGGCCTGACTGTAATGTCAATATAATATTGTATTTCAATTTTAAACTGGAATTAAAAGAAGGTCTCTATGGAGTAAATTTTGCATATTTGCTTTTACTGACTTGGTCGAGATCGAGTTAGATTGCTCAGATCAGCCAATATATTAGACCTCACATTTTCAAAGGTGTCTAAAAGAAAGTGCATATGTTGCTCATCACCAAATTCCAGCTGTCATTTTCCAGTTCAAGCTAGAAAATGAAAGACTTATTTCATTGGCTTCTACAGGCAACATATATACTTATTCTCTTCTGCAGATAGAAGTCTCACGCATTTCTTAGTTCTAGAAAAAAAGAAAAGGACAAAGCTGCCATCTAATGATTAAATAATGCCTTATCCGTATACTTAGCAAAATACACAACAAATCTATAAGATTTTTATTTTTTTTTAACTATTTATAATTTAGTAAAACAACCTTCTAGTGGCAACTGCATATGATGGCATTTTAGAGAAATTGTCACATGAAAATCCAAGCAGACATACAGTTAACGCCACTGCAGAACTTGCTTTTCACTCACATAAAATAATCGTACATTATTCAAAAGATCCAAGGCTGAACCCCACTAGTTTAGGTTAACGTTGCATGTCGTCAGGTGCTGTAACCTTTTGAATAATGTTTAGGAAAGCTTTGGGATTTACGGTTTAACAGTCTTGGAACTTAAGTCTGTTTCATATGTCTTTTTTTTTTCCCCCTTAATGACAATGTCACTAAAAACTCATGCACGCTGCAAAAAACCTCATGCAGTAGTTATGGTAAACCATCCAAGCAGTTTTTATTAATTAATATTCATAAATACACACAGCAGCTTCATTAGATTTTTTTTATCCATATAGATTTTCCTCTTCAGTTTGAATGTGGGAGATTAGGAGAGCTTTATTTTTGTTTACGTCAAGGTACAGGAAGCAGACGGCTGCCTCTGGAACTGCTACCTATGTATATTTGCTAGAAGTAAAAATTAGTTAAGTGATTTTGTCATATATATTTGCTTCTGTCTCTTTTTCAATTTTTTTACATTTTTTTTTTACTTTTTTGAATGTACACAATGTAACAAGAGTGACAGACTGGAAATTACAATCACCAAAACAAACCCAAAGATAGTCGTTTGTCCACTTTCATTGGCAGTTACAGCACAGAGGACATTGTCTGCAAAGGGGGATGTCATCAAAGAGGAGGTGGCGGAGGCTCGTTTCCTTTATTACTCTCTTTGAGATTTAAGTTTTCTAACGCAACATCTAAAGGCATTATATCTACACAACCCATAGCCCCAAAATCGGCTATTTCCCCCCGCTCATCCTCATCTGAGGAGGAGCTTTCTTCCCGCATCAATGTAGAAAGCAACAGCTCCTGGACAAAGAGGCTGCGATCTGCGCGTTCACTTTCTATTGACTGTCGCTCGGCTTCTGTCATCTTCGGATCATTCAGTCTATGTCAGGTTGGGGAAGACAGATAAAAAGAAAATATGAGTATCCAAAGACATTGTTATTAGTGCTAGATGATTAATTATATAGACAGTTTTACAACCCAAAGATTTAAAGACACTCTCCCTTTGTCTATAAAGGGCAAAGTGACAGCACCTGCTTATAGCCTACATTCCTTCCCCCTCCCCGCCAAGCAATTTATACTCCTCAATCTGCGATGTCTGGCAACCTTCTGGCTCCATCAGACTCTTCATTCTATTGCTCAAACAGAGTGAGGCTTCTGGCTATGGAGGAGTTTTTGACCTCCCCAATACAATGTTATCCACCTGGGTAAGCATCAACCATATTAGACAATGGACCTTACCCAGAGCAGACTCCATGAGTGGTGAAAAAGCAAGGGAGCATGGACTGATGATTATACCTTGCTGCAGTGGTCTAACAGCAGACAACGAACATGACCTCACAATATTACAATCTGAGTGTACAATCATCTTTAGACTTACCAACAACTATATAGTGTGCGAGAGGCTGCCTAACGGGATACAGTTGAAAACATTGTTTAGGCAGGCCCTCATACTTGGAGCATAGTGTAAAAGAGATTGAACATTCAAATTGAATGTGTGACCAGCTTTAATAAGATGATCTGTATAAAAACCGCAAGCTGCATTTACACAGGCACATCACAATGCACAGTATTTTTCTAGGGGGGGGGGGGTTAATTATTTGGGGCCCTGAATTTCAAATCAGTATTCTTGTCATCTGCCAACTTGAATTTCAAAGAAAGCGCAGCAGAGAAATGGACAATCCGGTTGCTCGAAACAAAGCCTAAACTAAAGCTACTCAGACAGACATCAATATGATGAGATTTAATGTCCTCAGGAAAACACTCCTGGTCAATTATACAAAAATACATTTAGTGTCTATGTGTGGCTTTCGTGTATTCATTAAGGACCCTATAACCCAGTATCCGCACAGTTCAGGCTTTCAATTTGAAAGTAAACTAGGCAAGACCACCTACAGTATATTTTAACTGGATGGTATGCAGGAGAGATGTGTTGATCCAAACCTTAACCCTCCTACCTAATTCTAACTTCAAAAACACTAGTTAAAAGCAAAAAACAGGAGGCATCCAAGGGAAAGCAATGCTTAACTACTTGAGTACCAGCCTGTATTTCCCCTTCATAGTCAGATAATGTTTCAGTTTTTAGAGCTGTGATAGTTTGACAGTTACTCAGTAATGCAACACAGCATCCAAATTAATTTGATATCAGATAGCACTTTCTTTTGGTTATAGTTAAAAACCACTGGGTTTTTACTATATAAAAGAATAAACCAAGACCAAATATTTGAAAACTAAAAACATTTCCCCTACTTTCTGTTATAAAACATAATAAGAATGCCAGCAGACTATGAAATCTATGAAACCTTCAAAATGACCCCTTTGTGGGAAGTAAAACAAATATGGCACCCACGCAAATTCAAATTTATAACCAGCATATGAGAATAACAGCTGGGCTTCTGGTGTGTCCCTGTGCCTTTGAGGAATGGATTACCACCAGGCATACCTGCACTCAGTTTATCCATTGTTTTACAGTGCATTCAGAAAGTATTCAGAGCCCCTTCACTTTATTTTGTTGTTGCAGCCTGATACTACAGTTGTTCAAATTATTATTTTTTCTCATTAATCTACACTCAGTAATGACAAAGTGAAAACAGAATTTTTGAAATGTTTGCAAATGTTTGAAAAAGGAAAAACTGAAATATCAAAATTGGCATAAGTATTCAGACACTTTGCAAAAACACTTGAAATTTAGCTCAGGTGCCTCCCATTTCTCTTGATCGTTGCCGAGATGTTTTTACACCTTGATTGGAATCTGCATGATTTGCAAAGGCACACACACCTCTCTATAGAAGGCCTTAAGGTGGCCATACACTTTATAACCCTTTTGTCATACAGTGTATAATGTATTGCTGGGATTTGTATTCCTCTATAGCTGATGGTACATTGTGCTGTATAGAGCGTGGATGGCTGGCAGCGGCGAGCGTGAGGTGGGGAGGAGGTGTGGCGCGCCAAGCAATCGGAAGCCGATTAATCGATGATTGAAAAAATTTACAACTTTTTCAATTTTCAATAATCGATTATGTCGATTAGTTGTTGCAGCCCTACACAATACCATTCAAGACAAGATGGAAAGGAGGGCCCTGCCCGTGAGGGCTTACAATTTAAAAGATTTATATCCCTTCAATAATGAATGCTACGTCCCACCTTTCCTGTTGGGAGAAGGGGAGGATTCCTAAATGTAAACACTAGAGTGTGATTAGTAAAAATGTACAGAGTCCCTCCAACTTGCTCTGTACATTAAGTCACTGATTTGAGCTGTCTGATGACTGCGCAGATCACAGCCATTTACAGGCACTCACTAGTCTGAAAAAGGTTTGACGTCAAAACTACTGCCATAATCTAAAATACATGCCTACCTTGTGAGGAGAAACTGTGAATTCTGTATAGTTTGCTGATTGTTGTCCGTATTGGATGTGTTGGTTGCTGCTGTTGATTGAGTAATGGTGGTAGTGACACTACTTGCATTGTTGCGTCTGGTGGCGTTACGTGCCGTTTCTAGTTGTTGCCGCGCTGCCTGTGCCTGCTGCCGCTCTAATTGTAACTGCATTTGTAGCTGTTGCAGCTGAGAGGCAGAAGGCCCCGAGGAGTTAAGCTGACCACCCGTTGAACGCCTAACGCCTGATAATTGAGATAATAACTCTGTAAAGACAAGAAATTGAAAAAGATGTGACCCCTCTATTTAGATACATACATTTGACAAATAAAAGAAATGTGGGTCCGTTTATTTTCTGTTTACACTGCCTCATCTCATTTCTATTAAAGATACATACATACATACATACATGTATATCACAACCTAATTCAACATATAAAGCTTGTTTACCTGGCTGTATAAACCTAAAATGGAAGTTAATGCCAATCTTCTTTTGCAGTTCTTAAACCTAATCATTGTGCCTTTTTACATTAATGCTCCATAACGCAAGCGCTCAGACCCAACCTTGGTAACCCTTCTGATGCACTTCAGCAGTGATACTTTGAGTCGAGAGGCAATGATGATAGATGGACTAAATTATCATAGATATTGTCATGATCATGTGACTTCAGTGCTTTAGAAGGATACTAAATGAATGGACCACTAGAGAATGGAGGGGTTTATCCTGGATGCTTGCTTGGGTAGCCGATTAGTTAGGAGGTAGGCTATTCTGGAGCAATGTTCGATTCCAATACCAGATGTATTTTAAACGTGGTGTTATATACAATCCTCATATCTTCATTAATATTACAGTAGTCATTATTATTGCAGGACAGAATTAGGCTTCTTCTATACAGTGTTGGTATTAGGCTTGTGGCTAGTGCCAAGTAGTTTCTATCTAAAGCTGGCCATACACCTATAGATTATCTGCAGATTTTCTATGGTCAGATGGAAAAAGTGCAACAGATTCCTCCATCTACACCAAACTGTGTGGATGGAGGAATCTCCCGCTGGGCCAAGCTTCAGTATCTTGCTATACGGCCCGGCTGGCTGTCAAAATACCTGAACAATCTGATTGGATGCAGGCATTGTTCAGATGTTTTGAGAGCCAGCGGGGCCAACTAGCGAGATACTGAAGCTTGACCCAGTGGGAGATCCCTCCCTCCACACAGTTTAGCGTAGATGGAGGAATCCGTTACACTTTTTCCATTTGACCATAGAAAATCTGCAGATAATCTATAGGTGTATGGCCAGCTTTACATAAGCTAGATCTATTATAAAATACTTTCACATTTTAATTGTTTAGGGCAAGATTTTAAACGCAGGTAATACCGGACTATGCCTTTAATCTTGTCCCATGACTTCTACTTTGGGCCACATAGGCAAGTGTTAACAGCAAATCATTTCCCAAACTGATTAATGATCAAACAGCATCTGTCACTTTTAAAGTGTCAATGATTAAAAAAAAAAAGTATAGCCATGCAGTTTCTAGTCAGCCACGGTTATATGGCTGAAATCAATCAATTGAAACACTATGAACAGTAAATATGAATTGGTTCAGAAATGTATGCAAAAAAAACCTGTAATGCATTTAGATGCCTTCTGTATTTTGTGCCAGATGCATTAAAACAAAATATGCAGTTTTCTACTTAAGGCAAGGATAATCAACTTTCTAATTATATTAATCTTACAACATGCAATAATATAGCAAGAAAGAAAAACAATAAATGAATACTTATGCAACCACCACATTTCTGAACCTGAATACATTTTTTTAAAAGGTCATGTTTAAATGGCAAACACATCTAAAGGCAATAGTTTACCAGCTATAGGATCCATGGCTTCCCTATTGCTTGGTGAATACGAGCTCTGTGAGGATGAAAGCCCTCCAGTGGAACTGCTAGTAAAGTGCATGTTTGATCTGCGAGCTCGTGGCCCTCCTAACCCTCGGCCAGGGTGAAACATCCTTCGTACGTGCCGAACGCCACTGGATTCATCATAGAAAATACTTAAGGAAAACAATAGCAAATATGATAACTTCAAAAGAAAACTTATGTTTATTGCTAAACAGAGACCTGTTCAAGAAATTATGTCATTTGATGCTACAGGGGTAGGGGTTAAAAGATAACAAATATATTACACAAGCATTGCAGGTGTGCAAAAATACAAATTTATTTTAAAGCTGTTGACTGGTTCGGATAAAAAAACAAAAAAAAACCCAAAACAAAACATTGAAGATGTGCACCAACAATAAAGTAGGGCAATTGCTGCATTTATAGTTGATCAGAAAAATAAGATTTTTGTACTTACCATAAAATCCTTTTCTTGGAGTCCATTGAGGCACACAGAGTCCTAGACTTAATTATTATGCAGCCTAGGGGAGGACTGAACAAAGACAAAAACAAAACAAAAAACTAAGCCAACTCAGGATAACCTTTCCTACTACCAGCATGCCTCAGTTTTGTAGCAAACCAGTAACAAGTGCATGATCATCAACACAGAGCAGTGAGATCTGTGTCCCTAAATAGACTGTAAGCAAAGGATTTTATGCCAAAGATTTTACTTTCTCGTCCATTGAAGGACATAGAAAGTCTACAGCCTTCGGATGTCCAAAAATAGTCCAACTCAGGTGTGGACAACACCGCGCACAAACGTTAACAGGCCCAAAAACATGAGTTGATTACCTGATAACTCTGTTTCCAGGAATCTTCCAGGACAGCCATCGAGATATAGGCTCCGCCTACCTGCAACAGGAAACTACAGACACCAGCAAGGGCTCCCACCACAGACACCAGCAAGGGGCGAAGAGACACCGCAGCCCGCCGCGCTAGGCCCACACCTCCACGCTGCCGCAGACTGACCCTGCTCTCCATACTATCAGGTAAGAGCCCCCAACTGCCAAGGTAGCCGGGACCCCTGGACTCCTCCAGCCTCCCTGTACCTCTCCAATGCTGCCCCTGTCGTTGCCAGACAAATGTCCACAACCCTGGGTCAGCATTCTCACATCCCAGCTTGCCACTGCTGTACACCAGGGGGGCCACCATCTGGCACCAACTCACGTGCAGGAGGATGGTTGCCTTCCCTGAGTGATGGAAGGGAACCTTGGCCAAGAATCGGATGGGGGTCCGATAGGGAAGCCCTGCATGCGCTGCAGCAGGTAATCCTGGAGTAGGTCCCAACGCATAGCAGGGTAGGCTCAGCCCTAAGGCAAACAAACATGAGCCCTGAAAACAACAAACATTACGATGTCCCTGTGTAGCCGGCGGAAACACACAAAAAACTGACTTGGGATGGAAGGAGGAGTCTATTTATTTAATGTGGTTGATGTGTTTCCTGTTTCAGGTAGGCAGAGCCTATATCTCGATGGCTGTCCTGGAAGATGACTGGGGAAAAGAGAAAACAGAACCGTGAGCTGCATGCAGCTAAAAGAGATGCCTGAAGGACCTTAGGCCTAAAGATCGCATCTGATGGAGGCCAAAAGATCCACCTGGTATTCAGCTCAAGTGGCAGCCTTACAAATCTGAGAAACAGTTGCCAAATGCTGAAAAGCCCCACAAGACCTAATAGAGTGTGCCTTGAAAGGAAAGGGTGGAACCCTAATCATCTTGAGACCATAAGCTTGGATGGCGGTCTGCCTAAGCCAACTAAAGACAGTAGAATAGGAAACCAACACACAGCTTTGGGGTCCGTACGGGACGAGGAAATTAGTCTTTCTAAAAGAAGCAGAGGCGGAGAGAGTTTCTCACAAATCAAGCCACATCAAGACAATGGAGAGAAATTTCATTTTGGTGAACTAGAGCTGGACAGATGGAAGAACAATGTCCTGTTTGAGATGAAAGGCAGACATTACCTTAGGCAAAAACACAGACCTGGGCCTCAACACCGCCTTGCGCCTATGCAAAACCAGAAAGTTTTCCTTGCAGGATAATATGACCAGTTTCGTCACGCGGTGATGACTATTAGAAACACCACCTTTGTGGGTGAGAATGGTGGTTTCTGAAGCGCAGAAAGAACCAAATTCAGATCCCATGGAGTCACATGAGAATGAACAGGGGAGCTACATGGAAGAACCCCCATGATGCCAGGATTGGGTGCAGGGCCTACCAGAAACTGAGCTTAGAAACAGCTTCCAAATTACTTATCGTTCAGGTCCTTGAGACAGTGCTCCACCAGAAAAGTAAGCATCTTGTTAAATGCAGGGCACGACTGGATCCATGGGAATGGACCACTTCTGTACAAATGGCTCACCAAAAGGATACAAAGCTGATAAGTGCTTGGGAGGATAGAATTTCAAATCTCATTATATACTTCTGGAGTAAACATCTGTTAACCTATTACTTATGGTATTAAGGTTTGAACATGCAATACAGATCTAACTGTTATGATATATAAAATGTCTTTATCTTGAAATTAGATTAAACCAAGTCTTATAAAGAAACAATAATATTGAGTATTTCCAACAACGGACCAGTAATTAGATATGCATTGATTATAACAACTTGCATATAACATTATTCATTCTTTCAAGCAGAAGTGCAACTCTAAAATATTAAAATGAAAAGCTATATTGGCTGTAATGCCATTGCACATATTGCATACAGTTGGGCAAAAAAGTATTTAGTCAGCCACCAATTGTGCAAGTTCTCCCACTTAAAAAGATGAGAGGCCTGTAATCGGCATCATAGGTAGACCTCAACTATGAGAGACAAAATGAGAAAACAAATCCAGACAAATCACATTGGCTGATTTGGAACGAATTTATTTGCAAATTATGGTGGAAAATAAGTATTTGGTCAATATCAAAAGGTCATCTCAATACTTTGTTATATATCCTTTGTTGGCAATGACAGAGGTCAAACGTGTCCTGTATATAGGTTAGTTCTGATTGGATCTCTTCCCAAATCGTCTCTCCCTAACATTCTAGTCTCATTTTAATTGGTTGACTAAAATATATTTTCGTTATAGTTTGTCGTCATAACTTAGTTTTATTTAGTTTTAGTCACTGAAAAAGTGTTGATGAAAACTGACGAAAATTATTAGTCGACGAAATTAACACTGGACAACCAACTAACCATCCTCCTGGCCTAAGTCCTCTGAACTAAATGAGGCATTATCTTGATCCTTTCTCCTCTAGTCCGGTCCAGTACAGTCCCGAGGCTCAGCCGAGGGGGGACCGATCCGGAAGGGTGCAAGGGGAGCCGCAGCGGCTATGGAGCAGCTAAAACAGTGAGATAAGAATCTTAATTGAACAGTACTGACTAAAGAATCTTTGATCGGAAAAAAAAAAATCTCTTAGTAAAAGGTCCATCACTTAAGGACATTACCAAAAAGCTAAGGCTTGCTGGGAGTGGGGGTTATGTGGGGGAGCAGTCCTAACATCTGTTTGCCAGTGCCAAATCAAGGTGGCTGCAAGACAAAGACCTGTGTCCTGTACTGTAAGATTAAAAAATAAATTTATGAAAAGTTTTCCGTTTTTCTTAATTGATTAATGGTCATTCTGTTATTGTGTGCATTGAATGCAAGGCTTATTACTCAGATTTGTATATAATTCTATTGGTTCTCTAAGTATAAACACCAGTTCAGTTCTATAACTCTTTACGAAAAAAAGGATATTAGATCCCTGGGAGCTCTGTGTTCAAGTGTAAGATGGGCAGCAAAATCATCTGTGACGTGATTTGGATCTCCCCCTGGTAATGCTGCACATATTGGACAAATCTGCAGAGAGACCAACACAGGAAATAACTACACCGTCAGGTAAAGATATACAAGAAAATGTAATCACTGTAAACATTAAAAATGCTAGGCAATATAAAATGACGTTACTTTCCGTTAGAGCATTTGGCAAACCTGTTCTTTTGAAAATATCTATAGGACAGCCAGAGTAAAATGCAAGCAACAACAAATGTCTACAGAAGCCTTTCATTATTTTAATGAGCATCCCAGAAGCTCTAATATACAAATGGCAACTTTTTACTCACACCTCCTGCAATGTCATGCATGGGCCATCTAACATATTATAGGGTGCTCATGAAGATAAAAAGTGGTGCATTCAGAAAACACAGAGTGTGGCTACATTTTAAATTGGCTGCCAGTTTACAGAATTATTAGTGTGGATAGTTTTACTTTAAGAATATGTAATGTAGGAATACAGAGGGGTCTTTTGTTGATATGTAACCATGGCAATGCAGCAAAACCAGAATGGAGACATAAATTTGTTGCATAGTAAACAGTAGATAGAGCTTATCTTTAGTCTATTAATAGTGACGCCGAAAGGGGAAATCGTAGTATTTCAGCATTATTATAGATATGTATGGTAGTCCTACGTTGCCATAAATGTAATATGGATACATGCTTGTTCCGAGGTGATTTAGAGGTATGGAGTCACATAAAGCCTTGCAAGAAGCATTGAGAAGAAAGCCAACAAAAGGCAGCCCTAATGTCATGCCAAGTGCACTAGAATTAATCATCACACATCTTAATTGCTAGTAGCAATTAGAACTATAAATTCACTGTCCTGAAAATGGCTATACTGTAAACTACAGTATATAAACAGATATGGATATTCTCTCAAAATGTAATCCATTCACAGGGAAAATGGTAAGTTAAAAAAAATTTGGGTGCTAGTGAGAATAATAGTTGCCTGGCTGTCTCTGGCTTTAATATATGTGAGTCAGTAATGTAAAACAAGCTTGCATGTTAGAGGTCAGAGTGAAGACCGAAATTCTCATCCTGCAGTCAAACCTCCCCTTCCTGAAAAAAAAACAAAAAACTGTCAGCTTGATGGCTACTCAACTTTTATTTTTAGTAAGGGAGGTCTGTAATACCCTTCATATTGTCTTAGGCAATGTTCACACTATGTCCGGCCCAGATGTGGAACATTTTTGTCACGTTCCGGTGTGGGATTTTTTTTTTGGCCTAAAGTTGGCTTTCAGGTCCAGTCCAGTGCATTTGCATATGTTTTCAGGGCTCGGTCACACCATATCCAGTGCGTCCCCCCATGCCCGCAGTGCGATTGACTGCACCAGAACGCAAGCTACAGGACTGCCCTCCATTCCAATGCAGTGCGATCTGAAAAAATGCTGCACGCACTATTTTTTCAGATCACACTGCACTGGAACAGAGGGCACTCCTGTACCTCGCGTTCCGGTGTGGTTGATTGGGCGCGGGGCGCGCCCCAGCTTCATGTATGCAATCCAGTGCGTTCTGGCACGAACAGTACCGGGACACACTGGATATGGTGTGACTGGGCCCTTATGCGGTTTAGTGCATTCCAGACCAGAAGAAATAGTGCATGCAGCATTTTTTTCCTGCACTCAATCGGACTGCACTGGTGTGAATAGAGCCCAGAAAACCTAAGTTAGGTACCTGGTAACTTATTTTCCAGGAATCGTCCAGGGCAGCCTCTGAGAGATGGGAACCTCCCACCCTGAAACAGGAAACACATCATCCACAATTAGAATAAAAAGGGCGGTCCCTCCTAACCACCTCAGTATCACCATAGAACCAAATGCCGGAAAGGACCACCAGGCAGTAACAATGAAACACACCACTCAATAAGCAGGGCGGGAATCCATGCTGTCCTGGACGATTACTGGAAAATAAGTTACCAGGTACCTAACTTAGGTTTTCCACAGTCAACGTCCAGGGCAGCCTCTGAGAGGATAAATTAGGAATATACTTAACCGGGGACACACAAACACACACACACACACACACACAGAAGAGCACCTTACTACAGAGAGTCTGATCACAACAGATGGAGGGTAACTCTGCAGTGCTACACCAAAGACTAACTCAGCTCACTGACTTCCTTACAGATTTCCTCTGGCGACCCTAGCCCCTCTGACCCAGATGAGTCCAAGGCCATCATTGCAGCTGGTCATAAACCCTTCTAGAGGATGACAGAGCGATGCACGTCCGAAGCCACCAAACATCAGTGTTATGGTGTTTGTTAGCCTGTATCAGGCCCTGAACAGGTCAAACATACTTGGAGCTCCTCAAGGAGTAACAAAGTCCAAGTAGTACCAGAGAAACCTACTAAAGCCTAGATTTAGAAGCCAACTTCCATCCTATGGATGAAACAGGATAAAAAGAGGGACGCCAACCCTCTATTGATATACATGTCAAAATATACCACGAGTGTGGCTGTACACACTCGGTCATCCCCTGGCTAAGATACTCTCAGGAAGGCATACATACATACCTATGTGTACACTCACAGCCAGACACCAAGAAGGTGCAGAGTTATTTGAGCTTTGTCTAGGACAGCTGTACTTAGGCTCTTGATCAAAGCCTGTCAATTGCAAGACTTCGGACCTTTACAGAACCCAAGGGCTCACTGGGTAAGTAAGTTCTACCTAGCCAGTTAACCCCTACGTTTAAATATTTATTTGATCATCCCCAGATTTTTGAGTTGTTTGCGCCAACGAATGCACTCACATTCATAAGAATTTGTCAAGTGGCAACCAATATTAACAGGGTGTTTACCCCTTCATTAAATGTGCTCTCAGCACCCTGTCTTTCCCAACAAAGAAAAATAGTGCAGCATTTTTGTAGACATTACTGGGCCTGACCTGTACTGCAAAGTGCTATGAGGCAAGACGAAGCAACTGTGAGATCAAACAAATGTCACGTGGCTGGCTCATGATCCTAAGGTTTGACACTCCTCCGATACTATAGGCAGAATAGAGAAGCTGATGTATGTAGAAAACCCAAGCAGGTCGTCACTACGTCGACCTACGTCACAGGTCGACATACTGACCTGTTGGGGGTAAAAACACCCGCCCATCCCGATGCCTAGATTATATGGGTGCAGGCACAACCATAAACCCTGAAGTATGTAGCCTGTCTCTGCAGTGATCTGGTTTATCATGGCTTGTCCATATCTGCTGCATTCGGGTGTGTGGCCAGAATAGTTTCAAATCACACATCCGTGTTTGATTCCAGTGCTCCACAAAAATAATCTGACATGCAACATTGCTTTTGATTGTACCAAATAAAATTTCTCTAAAACGTTTGCAAGAGCCTTCTGAATTCAGAGAGCAGCCAGTATTCCTGTGCCCTTCATACGCAGGGTGAATACAACCTTGCCATCCTCCCAGATATAAGGTCGATTCTCTTGTGTGAAATCGAAGAGAATAAAAAAAATTTTTAAAAACACGAAACCGACCACCTGAAGCCATGCTTGGGGTGGATACAAGGCCAAGCTTGATATTCATGCAATAGCCTGGAAAAAAGCTATGCCCCATTGAAGACCCCTAACAAAACATATGCTATAAACAGCCCAACAGATGTTTAAACTGCATGAGTCCGGTAAAAGGATGCACTAACAACGTCCTGTTCAGGGGACCCCCCATATGCTGAGCTTAAACCAACCAGGTTTACATAGTGGGTGCCCATACACCTAAGGTAGGCCGCATACAGCTACATTCATACCTGCCATTTGCACTCCAAGCGGCGAGAAAAAATCTGGCCAGCCAGGTGGCCAGAAATATGCCGCTATCTGCGTTTAGGACTTACGCACGGATGCATCTACGTGCATATGCGTCCAGACGTATCTAATATTCTGCCACCGACAGACACACATGCATTTAGACATGGTGTGTTGACATGTGTCCGGAACAACAAAAGTCAGCATCAAAACCCAGATGCAACTGACCTCTGTCTTTCACAACCACCTGTGTAAACAAATTCATGGTAAGTCTTAGCTGTATGTACAGTGGGGCAAAAAAGTATTTAGTCAGCCACCAATTGTGCAAGTTCTCCTACAACGCATGTGATGGCTTTTATCCACCTTGACTTCTGCAGAGGTGCCCCACACTTCTGCTATATAAAAAAATTATAGGCCAGGACTTCTGGCACTGCGGTAAACATTATCAGTTGTCTTCCCCCGTGAGAGACAAGCCAGGTGTGTGTGTGTGTGTGTGTGTGTGTGTGTGTGTGTGTGTGTGTAAAATACCCAGAATATAAATGTAAACCTAATAGCGCAGTACAACTGGCCGGACACTGAGCTTATCCTATACCCCCCTCCTGTAGTCAGAAGGGTCATTCCCCTGAGGAGCAGACCCACCCAGGTGAGATTGAAACCCATTGTGAAACCTCACCTGAGCAGTCTAAGGAGCTATAGAAGAGTCCCATAGAAATTCTCTGGACAAAAACTCCCTAGTAGCGATATAACCTTATTACTCCTGCCAAAGGTAGCACAGGCTTCTGCTATAGTATAGATGCAGTACAAGGATCTCTATGCGTTGGTTCTTATCACAGCAACAGGGCGATGGTATACCCAGTTGTTTATTTGTCGTATGCCGAATACATAGAGCCTTTCTGGTTTATTGTTCGAGGGAAATCAATGCTTTCATTATACCAGGGCAAAATATAATGGTGCAACCCCATGTCAGGAATCGCCCAGCTTGGAGATTATCCCCAGTGCAGAAAGCAAGCTCACTCACCTGTGGAGCAGCCCCACCCAGGTGAAATTGAAAAATGAGGAACCTCAACCTATACCCAATAACAGAGCCTTATCAGGATTAGCTCTTGCATCATAGGGCAAAGAATATAACTGCAAAACCTAACTGGCACTAATTGCTCCAGATTGACTGGAGGTTCCCCCCTGTGCATACAGCAAGGCCATTCACCTGTGGAGCAGCCCCCACCGAGGTGACAAAGACTTATGCAACATAGGGAAAATAAACATATCCGTGCAGCCTAATTAGCAGTAATCGCTCCAGATTGACTGGAGGTTACCACCTGTGCAGACAGCAAGCTTATTCACCTGTGCAGCACTCACCCCCAGGTAAAATGGCCTATCTGCAAAGCCTGTAAATTGAACCTTTGTCTGCCTCTCTGGGTAAAACAGGGGGATTCAGACGCCACCCCAATACCTCCGTCTGCCCAGTAGACTGCCTGTAGGCATAAGAACATGACTGAGCCCCCTCACAAGGTGTACATTAGAGGGGAGAGCGCAGCCAAAGTCGAGAGAAAGAAGGTGAACAGCCAGGCTGTCCTAAATAAGATACTGCCAGGATCCATCCCCAGTAACTGTGTCTGTGTGAGGGAGATATGACCATAGACACTCCCTCCCATGCATGCCCCTCTGGCGATACACAGATCTGGCAGAAAAGCTTGGTCCGGAAAGAAAAACAATTTGTCAATGCATGAAGCCTCTTAGGGTGTTTTGGCTTCTGCTGGCAGGGGCTTATCCTCTGAGGCCTATACTTATAACAAAAAAGGAAAGGCTCAGAGCCTGCCACCCGAGACCAAGCTGCATCCCCCTGGAGAGAGACCCATTGGGAGGTGCATCAAGTAAGCCAACTACCCATTGCCCCACCGAAGTAGGCCCCCAAGAGCAAGAAGGGTACAGGTAGGGGGGGACTTGTCAACTGTAGACCCGCCTACCTTGGAGCTGGAGCTTTGAACCCCCAGAATGGGAGAAGCAGCCTGTGATGAAGAGTCCAACAGTGTTCATCACCCTTCCCGTTTGGACTCACGCTCCTGCCCCACTCCTGGCGCCCCTGCTAGCCGATGTGGATTGTCGACAAGGCACAGTATTCGTGTTCTGCTGTGATCCAGCTCTACTGCCGCCAGAGAGCCCATCAGGCCATCAGTCAATTCCTTTAGCAGGACACTTCGGGGGACTCCATCTGAAGACATTACGCCAGCGAGGATGGTTGCCATCTCCTTCAATTATAGAGGGGAACATCTGGGCAAACATTTTTTTGTAAGGACTCTGGGGGAATCAGTCCTGGGAAAAGTCCTGTGCATGAGACCCTACAGGTCCACTGTCCTGCGAGTAAGAGCCGCATGTCTCAGGAGGCCACTGCTATCTAGCACGATAGGCCTGGAGTAAAATAACAAACGTTGCAATGCTCCTGTTCGGCCAGAGGAAACACAAAATACTGAGGTGGTTAGGAGGGACCGCCCTTTTTATTCTAATTGTGGATGATGTGTTTCCTGTTTCAGGGCGAGGATTCCATCTCTCAGAGGCTGCCCTGGACGTTGACTGGGGAAATACCATTAGGAATACATTTGGGATGCATTTCAGGTACGGACAAAGACTGTTCTGGTCCCGATCTAGTCCGGACATGGTGTGAACAAGCCCTTAGTAAAAGTTTGTTTTCAGCTTACAGTCTTGTCCTGGAGGTCAACTTAGAAGAATTTCGCCAGTGGGTGACCGACAGAAATAAACTAGCAGAAGCTTTTTCTCTCCTCCACTGTATACAAATGTTTTGTCTGGAGGTCTACTTAAAGCAGCAGTGTTATTTTAAAAATATAGCATAACCCGACAGGCTTGCTTAAGGCATGAGCACAACGGTATCTCCGGTCTGACCAAAATGTGATAGATATATATATATATATATATATAGATATATATTTTTGGAGAATCCACCAAGGGGACATTTTAGTGTCATGGACTTTCTATTAAAAGTATTTGAAAATGTAAGCAACAAAACCTCTGTCTAACTTTAGTTGAGACAGTTTTAGGTTTGTTTGTTTGCTGGCTAGCTTCATAATGTGCTACGGAACCCCCTTGTATTATTACAAAATGTTGTGATCATTGACAGGGGCATTAGAATACTGGCTAGTGCAATTATTCTGTAAAATAAAAATGTGTACTTCAGTTATCAGCATTTTCGCCAATTTCATGCTCTCCTCTTTTTCTAGGCTAGAACCAGTGTTCTGCGAGTATGGTACTGTCAAATATACTTACCACTTCTGTTGATGTCTCTGCATGCTCTGAAGTCACATGCTCTTGTAGCGAGGTCTCTGTATAGCCCATTTTACCGCAATAAGGACAAGTAAAAGACTGTGGCTGTTCTACAGAGAAGGCTTCCCCACCATAGTATAAATCTGTTAGGAAACAAAAGGCACAAATGAAAAATGCAGGCTTACTGTTATCTGACATGGTATTTGGATCACTCTGGTTTAGCACGGGTTCACACCTAGGCATTTTTGAGCAGTTCGAAAAGCGCTTTTAACTGCCTGACACAAGAAATCTCATGATTTTCAATGGCCCTGGTTCACACCTGAGCAGAAAAACGCTTAGCAGGAAATCGCCTGAAAAGATACAGGAGCTTCTTTGAGCAGTTAAAAGTGCTTTTCCTCCCCACAGACTTCATTGGAAATGCCCAAAAACGCACAACAGAAGCATGTTGCACATTTTCGTGAGCGTTTTTGCACGTTTATACATATAAGATATGGATAAACAACGCGATATAACAGCCCTTGAACGTGGGATGATTGTTGGCGCAAGCCATGAAGCGAGTATCAGCAAAACAGCAGAATTCGTTAAATGTTCAAGAGGGGCTCATTGTTAAAGTGTTTAAAGACTGGACTGTCAGCCGAAAATCTGGGTCTGAACGTGCAAATTGTGGCCGTCAGCAACTGGTCAATGTTAGGGCAGAACGCAGGGTGGCAAGACTGGCACAAGACAACAGAAGGGCAACAGTGCAGTATCAGATTCCTCGCATTACCTTTCAACATCTCGCGGAGTCACGAGGCGGCCCAACGAAGTCATCTCGTGGAGTCATCTCGTGGCCCAACGAAGTACTGATGGGGTGGTCATAATAATCTGGCCAGTGTGTGTGTGTGTGTGTGTGTGTGTGTGTGTGTGTGTGTGTGTGTGTGTATATATATATACACACACACATACACATACACTTCACTAAAACCATATTCATATTCAGTAAATGAATTCCTTGTCTATTTCACAAGGAATTTTTCCACATATACTGTACATGCAAGCAATCCAGCAAAAGTGACAGAGGCTAAAACAAAAATATATGCGCATCTATATATAGCACATCACATTTTTGTTCTCAATGTTTGGGCATGCAAATGAACAAAACTGCAGACAACTTTACTGCCGTCTTTATAAGGTTTGTGTGAAAGGTGTGAAAGACCACTCTCAATGAAAGACGACAATTAACAAGGCAAAAGGCCATACAGGAAGATAAAAATCATACTATAAGCATCCTACAACCAATAGAAAAAAAAATGTAACTATAATACATACCAAAGTCTACCCTTGTCAATATGCACTGCATTGGATGGTCAGTTGTATGCCTTGTCGTCGTTGCACCACTTTCATAGCAAGACGCACACAGATCGTAATCGTAGCAAATTAAGCACTTGTATCGTCGGCCTCTAAAGTTTCCTTTTAAACATGCATCACAGCTGACACCTGCACAGAAAACAAATTAAACAATTTTAAAAGAAAACATTTAAACTTTTTTTTATATTAGGAAGCATTAGGCCCATGCCACACAAGGGATTCTAGGTCCACTTGCCTTTTACTATGGTGCTACTTCCATACTGGCCAAACCAGATAGATGTTACAATGTCACTGCTTTCCTGTAAGTGATAGAGTTTCTAGTTTTTTGGCAATCAAAGGAGCGACTGATTGGGTTGAGTGGCAGCTACACCTCAGAATCCCCAGTGTGAGATAAGTCTTAGAATTAAGATGTGTTTTTTAAATCCATTTCAGATGCTCATAAAAATATAGTAGAAGCTGGCAAGTTAAAGAACCATGCAAGTTTCAATAAAGTTTTCCTATAACCCCTAATAGCAGAGTGCTTTACATATATTAACATAAAAACCTCAATAAAAGCATATTTTCATTTAAATATATATTTTGAGTCATTAATGCAATATTGTGAGTGGAAAAAAAAATAAAATAAAAAAAATCACACGATTGTTTCAATCTATAAATCCGGCAGCTCTCATATCTGGAGCAGGCCTAGACTCTAGTGGGAGCTGATCAGGTATCAGCCATTTATAACATCTGAGCAGAAGCAACATTTATTTACACATCAGAACTTGAAGTGCAATGGAAGCCAATACTTGGTTTTTAGTTTTGGATAGAATGAAGAGGGATTAGAACACCTGTCAGGTTTGTATCGCTGTCTGTGTCCCCTGCCTGTATCTCCTGGGAGGTTCATCCTCTTTATTCACTGAAAGCCTGGGAGTTGGGCTTTAATGAACTGCAGGAAATGTAAGAATTAACGATTTCGTCTAGGGATGAAAATAACAAAGAAATACTCACCTGAACCTTGCAGCCGGCTGGCTCTAGACCTGTCCCTCCAGCCTGTCTCCTCCTCCACTCCAGCGATGGAATTTCCCTTGGCGTCCACACGTCCTATACACTGTAAAGGATGTGATGACTCATAGGACCTTAGACCACTGGAGTGGAGAGGGAGCAAGGCTGCAGGGACCAGTCTGGCAGCCAGATGACTCCAAGGATCAGGTGAGTATATCTTTGTTATTTTCGTCCCTAGATGGAAATGGCCATTAAATCCTTGCAGTGCTGGGGTAACCCCCTGCAAAGGATAAGAATATTTCTGCCCGGTGTTCTCCTTTAAATCATGTTTCCACAATATGTGCAGTCTGCATGTGACTTAGTCTCATTGACATCAATTGCTTTTAAGAGAGATTTAGCTTAAAGCTTTGAGAAAAACTGGATGAAAAGCACTAGTTTGAACAAGCCCTAAATCCAGTCTGGGACCATTTGCAGAGAATACAAATGGTCTTTTCTGTCCTCCTCAAATATGAATTCAAATTCATGGGAAAATGAGGTGTATAAAAAAAGTGAGCTTCCTATAAGAAATGCTACTGGTACAGTCCATCTTCAGAACGAAGGTATAGTTAGCTCAGAAAAGGGGTTAACCGTTTAATATTTCACTCCACACTATTATAGAGTATTTGCATATTTTATGATTAATTCAAATGTGATATGACTGCTTGCTCAAGCTTGCAATAAATCCCAGAGCAGGAAGGGGGAGGTGACACTATAGCATATCAGTTCACCTCTGGGCACTTCTAGATATACCTGCTTTTATACATGCAGAGGCTTAATTTTTTTTTTTTTTTTATGTGATGTGAATCTCTAACAGAAAAAAAAAAAGAAGCAGAAGTGGAGTTGTTAACCAAGGAATCTGACTTGTCACTTTGGGCAAAAAATATTTCATCTCACTTTTTTGTCTGCAGGTTTTTAACAAACAGTAGAAATGTCCAAACTAGTAAACCCACTACATGTGGCGATAGAACCAGGGATGCACAATCAATGCTCCTCCTCAAGTTGGAAACCACAATTTGATCAGCACAACCTCAATATGAAATATAGTCAGTTTAAAAACCTACCTACTAAAAACGAATTGACAGATATGTTTGCCCATCTAGAGCAGTCACTGAAAACGGATATAGAAGCCATGAAAGGTGAGACGACACAGCTCCTGCACAGAGTGGAAGAGGGGGAATCGAGGTTAGATTCTCATTCGGTGTCAATTAGGACACTGCAGAGGCAGATACATTCATTACTTGGGACACAACGTACCACCTCGTACCGCCTGGAGGACCAAGAGAACAGGGACCGCAGAAATAATTTGAGGATCCGCGGTCTGCCTGAGGTAATAACTGACCCAGAACTAACGGAGACATTAAGGGGTATTTTTAACAAAATACTGGGAAATACACCACCCACCCCCCTGATGTTTGATCGTATACACCGTATCCCACGGCCACGTAATATGGCAGCCGAGACGCCACGGGATGTAATTTGCCGTTTCCATTATCATATGGAGAAAGAAAGTATTACACGGAAATTAAGGGAACAGCCTCTGATGGAGTATGAGGGAGTGCGCATCCAGATCTACCCTGATTTAGCTCAAGAGACTTTGGCAAGACGCAGGGCCATGCGTCCACTCCTGGAAAATCTTCAAGCTGCGGGTATTTCTTACAGATGGGGATTCCCATCCTGCCTAATAGCACGTAAAAACGGGAAAGTCGTAACACTCCGGATGCCAGAACTACCGCAATTCTGCGAAACCCTCTCTATCAACATACCTCACTTACCGGGATGGCAGGAATTAATACCGGACTGTGATCAACTCCCAAATAGTGAGTGGACATTGGCGGGAGGTACCTGGCATTTGGTATAATCATCGCCCCGGTATCTCTCTAACGGGTCAAATAAATGTCATTAAGATGATGATTTTACCACGGGTGCTATATATATTTCAAACAGTGCCAATTACTTTACCTCATTTCTACTTACGAAAATTGAGATCGGTGGTTAGACGTTTTATTTGGAGACGTTCTCCAGCTAGGATTTCCCATGGAGGCCTAATTAGGACTAGGCATAAGGGAGGCTTGGCACTACCAGATTTTGGGATGTATTACCAGGCGGTTGCAATTAATTGAATGTTGGACCTATACCATCATAAGGACACAAAAAAATGGGTAGAGATGGAGAATGTGCTGGCTGGTCAAATAGTATCGAATATTTGTTGGATTCCCAAAGAATATTGGAACTTACATCCCCATATCTCCCCACTCACTAGTCACACGCTAGAAATTTGGAATTTTTTATACTCTCGGTTAATAGGGCTATACAATTCTCCTCTAATGGCCGTGACAGATCACTTATTTTTTTCACCAGGAATGCATAACACAAGTTTTCTGAAATGGACAGATCACATTATATTAAAACTCTATCATGTATGTGATGGACATAGAATATACCCTTTAGCAGACCTTCGAGCACAATGGGGGACCTTTCCCTTTGACACATGGAGACATAGGCAATTATCACATTTTATTTCCTCACTTTCAAAACCGTTATGTACTATATTTGATCTCACAGCACTAGAAAAATTATTTTATTTCACTGACCCTCCGCGACACGGTATCTAGCAAGTATATAGGATCCTATTAGATCAGCAACCAAACCAGTTCCCACTATATCTTAAACAGTGGGAGCAGGAATTGGAGATCACCTGGACGGATGCACAGAAACAAAGAATCTTAAGTCTTAACTCAGTTTCGTCTCTAAGTGCCCTGGTGACTGACACAATGTTTCGCTTCTTAGCAAGATGGTATTATACACCAGAACATATACATAAAATGTATCCATCAAGGACAGAGCTATGCTGGAGGAATTGTGGTAACATTGGAAATTATGTCCATATGTGGTGGTCCTGTCCCAAACTTCAACCCTTCTGGTCTCGGGTGGTGGAATTGATTGAAGAGATAACAATTGCACTACCCCTGGAACCGATGGTATGCCTCTTTCATTTGATGGATCTCCCGACTTCAGTCTATAGGAGATCGCTGTTATGTCCGTTACTTAACGCTGCTAAAATGCTGATACCACTACATTGAAATAAAAATAATATCCCAACGATGAAAGAATGGTATAATACAATAGAATATTATCGACTGATGGAAGAAATGACAGCAATACGGAGAGATACTTTTAAGCAATATGAAAATATTTGGCAAGAATGGGATAGCTTTAAAAACACCCCTGGATACACAGAGGATAAAGAATAGAGGAGAAATATAGTTAGACAAATGGCTGGGTAAAGGAAATGGCTATAGGGGTTGAGATAATATACAAGGTTGTTTTCATATGTTTTTGTAAAATATTATAATGAAGAAATCTGAAAGGGTTGCCAGATTTTTGTTTGTTTGATGTTTTTTTTTTCTCTTTTTCTTTCCCTTTATTATTTTATAAATTAAGAATCTTGTGATAGATAGAAGATATATGGGTACATAGTGCTATAATAGAGATGAAAAGGGAATATCGTGAAAAAGGAAATGCTAAATTAGTAAGATGTACCTGAATGTATAATCATGTAACACAGTTTGTCAAAAGTATGTAGTAATGATTTTTATTTTTGTGTTGTGCAACATTAATAAAAACTGTTTAAAAAAAAAAAACATTAGTATATTACGCTAAACTTTTTACAACTGGTGAGATCAAAGAAGGCGATCACAAAAGGGTTTTTAGTTTTTTTACTTTTCGCCACAATATAACCGTTCTCCCTCAGTTATAACACACAAGGTCTTGCACAACACGATCAATACACCTGATTATACTGGCAAAACCTCCACTTTCCAAACCTCTAGATCTTAATGAAAGCGAACCTTACAATAATGCATACCAATCATGATGTTACTTTCAAACTCCTGCATGCCAGAGTGACGGTGTATACAAAATGTATTAAAAAGCAATGGCCGATCATGGATGCCCTATTTAAAAGAGAACTATGAGGTCAGTGTTTTTCCCCATAGTTCTCCTTAGGGTAACGGGAGGACTCACACAAAATGTAATCTCATTAAAAGTGAATTTGTTTTAGAAAATAAAAAAAGATAATTAAGCATAAATTAACAGTGAGCATGAAA